AACTTTTGACAAGATCTTTATTCATTTAAGCCGTTTCCTCATTGCCCAAAATATGTTGTACACGCTCCACATACTAACACTCTTTCCATCCCTGAATCTACCATTTCATTTCTTCATGCTTTTCATATACTTCTGCCTCTGCTTGGCCAAAACTTAATCACCCTCCAGACCTGGCTATTCGGTGATGCCTCCCGGATACTCCCATCTGTGCCACCACTGCATTCAGTTCATACCTCCATTATACACGGTGCTATCACTATGTATTTACCAATCTGTTTCTCACCTACTGGGTCGTAAGATCCTGGAGAGCAAGTTCAGTGAAGTTGTATTCAGATTGTTTCCCCAGTTGTATTCAGAAGTATAGTGTGCTTATCACTATACTTGGCACAGAAATTTCTGGTAAATAAAAATTTAGGCCAGCCACCATGGCTCAGTGGTTAAGCTTCAACCTATGAGCCAGGAGGTCATGGTTATATTCCCAGTCACGGTTCAATTCCTGGTCAGGGCAAATGCCTGGGCTGCAGGCTGGATCCCTCATAGGGGACATGCAGGAGGCAGCGGATCAATAATTCTCTCTCATTATTGATGTTTCTATCTCTTTCTCCTTTCCCTTCCTCTCTGAATCAATAAAAATATATTTCAAAGTAAAATAAATAAAATAAAAAAATTTAATGAATGCAATAACTTGTTTTTAAGGGGCTAGGAAAAGAAAAATGTCTTCTTAACAAAGTGCTTTCCTACATCAAACCTGTACATGATGTCTGTGGTTTTTTGGCTTAAGAAAAACTCAGCCTGATAGTTTGAATAATAGTTGAATTAGCAGATTCAGGAATAAAAAATAAATTAATGATAGTTTCACTTTTGCAAGATGAATAGTTCTGGGGATGGGATGCACAATAATATGAATGCACTTAATAGCACTGAATTGTACACTTAAGAATACAATTAATTGACTAATGGCCTAAGGAGGGAAGACGTTTACTTCAGTACTAATTTATAAACCAGATATTGTATGGAGCATTGAGTGAACTCTGATGTACGAAGTTGCATCTGTAATTTAATTAAAATTAGTGACTTATTAAAACTAGATGATTTTAGAAATAAGAAAAATCATGGAAAAGAAAAAAGCATTAACCAAGTTAGAGGAAAAAAACTAAGATCAGAACCCAGGTTTTATTAAGAATGAAAGGGCTCTCTTAAAATAGTGGGCGCGCGCGCACACACACACACACACACACACACACACACACACACACACAATACTAGCACATTACAATCCCAAACAATTCAGTAAGTGCAGATTAGCGTGTAATGCATTAATACTTCAGGTAGGAGTTTGCATAACTGGGTTATCTAGGCTCTACCTGTGAGATATCAAACAAATATGACACACTGTAATGCTATACTACCTACTGGGATTAACGTGAGAATCAAACGAAAGCCTTATTACAAATGGAATGTGTAATCATCTTCTCCAACCTCACTTCTCCAGATTCTCCAAGTCTCTCAGCAAGGTTCCCATCATTCTGTGGGGGTGAGGGACTAGGTGGAGTTCTGTTGTTCTTGTTTTACACAAGGAAGAGGCGGGAGAAGAGGAAAAAAGGTAGGAAAGTTGTTCATAACGAGCAAATAACTTCTTCCCAAAACAAAGGATTAACCATACCTCCTTATCAATGAAAGACAGAATCATAAGCTCTATATAAACTGCTCATGTTAAACTTTTTCCCCAGTGACGGCCCTGTAAAACTTTTGACCTTTAGCATATTTCAGGAAATTATACAATAGTTACTTGGATGTATATTTACCTTTCCTATTCTACTGCAGATATGTCTAAATTAAGGACTCAGTATTTAACCTTTTGGAGTTGTTTATGGATTGTCTTAATTGAGTCAATATTCAGCTACAATATAAAGCTAGGTGGCTGGAGTTGTGCATAAGAGAACTGGTTGAAAGGAAGAAATGAATGAAAAAATAAACAAGAATTTCATCTCCCTTTGACTTCTCCCAACCTCTATCATTTATTTCTAAAGATCTAGGCAGAAGCCCTCTACTTACTAATTAATATTCTATATGTCTGCATGTTTGTTTATAAGTATTTTTATATTGTTAACACTTTATAAAAATAGTGTTTTCACCCCAGGCATGAAAATACAGAGTGGGGCAAAAGTAGGTTTACAGTGGTGAGTATGCAAGGGTTTATTCTTATATTATTATTTATTAGTTATAAAACTTTCCATATGAACACTAAACCTACTTTCATCCCATCTTATATTGAGAGGAAATACCAAATGGGTATTTTCTTTAAAGTTAACTCATTTGGCAAACAAATCTTGTGCAAAATATTCACCATATAAAACATGTGCAAAAAAACATTTAAAGAGAAAAAAATGTGCATTATGTGAATTTCCATTTAGAATCTCATTTGCATATATAGTATAATCATAATATTTTAACTTTATAATCAAAGTAGTTGTGAATAAAAATTATAGATTTATGTTTTTCCTACACTATGTCAGAAATAGAATATCCTTGAGACAATGCATAGCTACAAATACCAGAATTCATGTATCTTCACCACCTAATTAACAGAAACTTTTATTACAGTACAAAATAACTGTAATATCCATTTCCCCCCAAATTTCTTAAGAATCAGTTAGGGGGAGCCTATTAAAAATACAGACTACCACATTTCTCCCCAGAAATTCTGATTCAATTGCTCTGAGCAGGACAAAAATTTTTATTCCTCAAAGCGACTGGATGGTTAGCTAAGTTTGGAAAATACTGATCTAATAGAGTAGTTCTCAAATTACCAGGTATTAGCATAACTTGAGCTTTTAAAAACCTTAAACACAGGCTGAGGTTTAGACATGGCCATGACATCAACACCTTTGAAAAAGCTCTCCATGGACGATTGAGAACCAGATCTTGGAGAACTTGAACCATTCTTGCAGAACCCTTTTATCAATTAAGAAAGGAGGCTTGCTCAAGTTCACAAAGCTAAAGGGTACCAAAGCTGGAGCTGGAACCATTTCTCCTGACTCCTAGTTCACTTTGTTTTTTTAATGTAGCTGTTTTCTCATGTAGGTTGACAAAAAAAAAAAAAAAAAAAGTGTGAAAAACACATCTTTTTGCCTCAGATTAATGCTGGCCCTTAATAAGCTAACCTTGTTTCAGAAATTACTAGAAAACATTTTCTTAGTCCTAATAGAAAATAAGCTTACTACTTAATCTTTGGTTCCTACTAAGCTGTTAATGTATCTTACGGAGAATTCTTTAAAATTATTTTTAACTTCTGATTCAGTGTTTCAAATTTTCATTATTTTTAAAGTTCCTTACTAGCAAAATTATTTTGACACCTGAATTTGGTGACATGGTTTCTTCAATACATAGAATACATAACTCTACATATTGTGAACAGAGAACAGATTTTCTTCTTCCACACACACACAAAAATGATTTTAGGCTCCTAGGCAAAACCTCATCTTTGGCTCGTCTACAGATATTGAGTGGGAAACTTCTCAACCCATTCCTAGAATTTTCTTATTTTAATAAGATAATGTAAAAATAAATCATGAAAAATGTCAAGTGCAAGCTTACGTACAGATAACTTTTAAGTGTTTACTTTCCAAAAATTACTGTGTTTAATGCTTTCTGGCAGTTTACTTTTATCATTACAGTACCAAAGTTATCAAGATATCATTTTTATCCCTCTCAAAACTGCCAGATGTTCAGATATTTTAAATTTTCAAACTTCTGTGATGTTTGTGATGTCTGCTTCTGGGTTGTGTGTGTGTGTGTTGAAGTGTTTGGCATGCTGCGAAAGCAGGCCACATTAGTCCATAGGTAGAACTTCAGCGATTTGTATGTACAAATGTGTACTTTTGATTACTTCTATTCCCGAAGAACTGCCAGATTCTAGATTTTTAAATATACCACATATAAGAAGAATCAGATGCAATGGGGTTTGCAATCACATTCAATGGATTCTAGTAATTTTAGAGAAGGAAAGCTCTTCCTTTTTCCTAACCGTTGAGATGTCAACGCACAGGCATGTGCTGCTTCGCAAAGGGAATGCCTCCCGGCTCGGTTAGGTTTCCTCACTGTGCCAACCTCACAGGGGGCACTGCGGCCGTCATTACAGGTGCCAGACTTGGCATCACCACCCACACGGGGATAATGTCAGAGCAGAGCAGCCACGCGGCACCGCGCGGCAGGCATCTCTCGGCTCCATGACTGCGTCATCCTACGGGACCCCCGGGGCATACTTTTGGTCCATTGTCGACCCAAATGCCATCTCACCGCAGACTCTAAGTCAGAAACCTAATCAAAAGTTCAATATGCTCTTCACCCCGTTTAAAATCGGTAAATAACACAAACCTTGAAATGGAACTGAGAGTATGCCTCTAAAGGTAAAGCAAAACTAAAAAAAAAAAAAAAAAAAAAAATCAACATCTCGGCTAAATGTTCCAGTGACCTATCATCTTTAGAAAAACTGGGCTAGATGGGATAACCCACGGCGTTTCCACGAAGCGCTACAGTAAGGGTGGCCAAGCCTAAGTATTTGTGTTACGATTTTAAACTTGAAACTGGCCATTGCAGACACATGGCCTTTTTGGGCTTGCTTAACTATTTCCTAAAAGAAAACAAACAAGCAAAACAAAACAAAACAAAAAAAACCCCAAACATGTTTATTTTTCGGAGTGTGCTAGGGTACCGCTCAAACACCAGTCATTACCAATCCGAGGCCGGCCCTGCCCGGCCAGGCCCGCAGCGCCAGCCGTGGGCGGGGGTCGCGCGTGCGGCGGGCGGGGCGCGAGGCCGGAAGGACCCGCGCGGCGGGCTGGACGGGACCGGACGGGAGGGGCCGGCCTCCCCGCGGCCGCCCGCCGGCCTCCCGGGGCGCCGTCCAGCGCGGCGGCCCGGAGCTGCCTCGGTCATGCAGGGCCCGCCCGCCCCCGCCCAGCCCTCTCCTCCGACACACAGACAGACAAGGTTCCGACCTGCCGCGCCCTGCGTGTTCACAGTCTGTCATGTTTGGTCAGGAGCGGGGCGGGGCTGCGGGCCGGTCTGCGGGGCGCGGGACCCCGGCCGCCCGCCGTAACGAGGCGGTAAAAACTCACGGTTACTAGTGAGCGACACAGACACAGACTTTCCAGTCTGTTAACAACCACGCCAGAGAGATGGGCTCTCTGCAAACACGGGCGCGGCCGCGGCCGGCGCCGCCACGCTAGTCTCTACTCGCCGCCGGCGGCCGAGGCTCGGGAGCGGGCGGGCGAGCGCGCCGCGACGCAGGGGTTTGGACAGTGGCCGTGGCGGTGACTGCTCCTCACCGACATGGCGGCCCCGGGGCGGCGTTCGACAAGATGGCGTCGCTCACCAGCCCGGGACTCCAGGCGCAATATCCCTCCGCGCGCCCGCCTCGCCCCGCCCATCGCGCGTCGGCCATTGCAGGACGCGGCCGTCAGTCACCTGCAGGGGCGGGGCTTTAGCCCTTGCCCGGCGGCGGAGGCGGCTCAGGGCCGGGAGGCGGCCTCCGCTCGAGTTTCCCGTGTGGCTCGGGGCTCAGTGGCGCTGCAGGACGCCGCCAGCCGGGGGTTGTGGGGGGGCCCCTAACGAGTGGCTTCTGAAGCAGTCCTTCGGTGGGGGCTGTGTAATAAAGGCCACTCGTGGGGTGTGTTTTTTAAATATAGGGAGTTATTTTTAATATATTTATTTTTTTAAAAATAAAATCTTTGTTGCTTACGTGATGGAGAAATGTGCTTCCTCCTTCAAGGTTGTAGCGAGCTCTCTTTTTATAACGTTTAGTGCTCAGAATCACGTTTTGAGGAAAATAGCGTGGCTTAGTTCTAGAGGAACCGTCCTTGCTTTTTATTAAAATGATGGACTTAAGGGACTTGACCCTCCCAAATATCTGACTTCTTTTGTCATTGCTTAGTGGTAACAAAAAAGGTCCACAGTAGGCCAGGCCAGCTCCGGGGCCACTGCAGTCCTGGCGGGCTGGGTGACCAAGGGTAACCACCAGGGTGGCCTGATCACAAATTGCTGACTGGGCGGGTCGGCCATGGCAGGTGTCAAGTTCCAGGCCTGGTAGCTTCCTTAGCAACGCCACTCTCGGCCTTGAAGCAGCCCAGCCTATTCTCATGCATCTAGGAGGGCGACCCACCTTTGAAAGGTCGGGGTAATTTTCTTTTCCAACACCTCGCCTGGGAGACTATGAAACATCATTGTTATCTTGCTGCCCACTTATTTACTGTCAATGTTAATTATCCCATACTTACCAACATAAAAGATGTAACTCTCCATTTTGTTTTTTATCCAATGATTTCAATGCTTTGCTTTCTCTCACCTCCTTACTCTACCACCAATGGATTTCACGCACCTTTCTTATAATCGCTCCTGTGATTCTAATGCATAAAAGGGACTGAAAACTGCCTTTTTCCAGAGTCCATTTATACTCCAGCTTTATCTTTTCCTGTGGACGTTACATCAATACCGAGCTCAAATATGCTCCTTTCAAGAAGCCTTTCCAACCACAGGTTGTCTTCTCTTCTGAATCCTCTTAGTTCTTGGTATTTTTAAATAAACTTCCTGCCTAAAGGTTGTGTTAATCCCATTGGATGACAGCACTCTACAAGGCACATGAACTGTCCACACCTGTTTCCCCATCTAGAAAATGTGGACTAGCACCTGTAGTACGGACGCGTCCTGGGTTCCAGTGAGCATTAAGTGGGCTGAATGTGAAACATGCCTGATACTAAGCGAGCATTAAATCAATGCTTCTTTTTAGAAACACTGGGGTTTCGATCCAGAGAAGAACCCTGGAGCTCCAGTGGCGCAATCGGTTAGCGCGCGGTACTTATAAGACAGAGAAGAACCCTAAGGACCGAGCCTAAACACTATAGCAAATATTTGAGATAACGGGTCGCCAGGTACAACTAGAAGCATAGATTTAGGGCGGTGCCTGCGCGGAGCTAGGTAGTTAAGAGCGCGCCTGCGCACTGGGGCAAGGAGCGCGTGCGCAGAGGGACAGGCGGCGCATGCGTAGGCGGCCTGGGGGCCCCGGGAGCCCCTCCTCCTTCTCCTCTCTCCGCTCCCGCCGGTGGTTGTCACTCGGTAGCTGCGGGACTCTGGACAGGAGGATGGATTTCGAGAATCTTTTCTCCAAACCCCCCAACCCGGCCCTGGGCAGGAAACCGGTCACGGACTCCGACGTCATGGATTCCGACGACAGGTGACGCCCGTGTTTTGCTGCCCCGAGCGCCGGGGTCCCAGCGGGTTCCGCCCCCTCTCGCGTCCCGGACGCCAGGTCGTGGGGGGCGTGGAGCGCGCGGGAAGCTCGGACATGGTGCGATGGTGCGGGGCGGGCGCGCTGGTGGAAGGAGGAGGTGCGGGGCTCGATCGGGCGAGGGTGCGCCGAGAAGCTCCCCCTTCTCCCAGCGGGATTAGAGCACGTGTGAGCTCCTAGAAGACAGAGGTCATCTGTCATTTCTCACCGACACGTGCTAGGCGCTTTTTTTTGGTAGAAAATATGAAACCGTTAGTTCGCCAAGCGGTGGAGTATGAGTGAATAGTCTGTTCTTATTCCACTGGTCAGGATCGAAAGACCCGAAAAACTATCATAAAGCAGCAAAGACCTTTTGGATATATTTCCTTTATGTTGAAATGGGAAATGAGGCCGCTGGCCAAATGGCTCTCTTTTCATTCTCGGAGACGTGGTTAGTGTAGTTTTTTTTTACACCCAGATATTTAATGACTCTTTTCCTTGTGTCTTTGAAATGCTAAAAACCCACCTTTTCTTCTAAACCTGTATCTTTGCCCCAGTTTCCCTAGGCCAAAACCATAACACAGCCTTTATCCCTTCATTTCTCGTATCAACTATAAGTCATATTATGGTTGACTTTACCTCCATATCACTAAAATCTTTTCACTTCTCTCCGTCTCACATACCTTAATTGGAAGTACGGTATTGCTTTAATTCAGGCTACCATCAAGAGCTTTCCTATGGTGCTTTACATAAAATGTCATTTAATCTTCACAGCCTTTAAAATATCCTTGTTTTTGTAGATGAGAAAGTTGAGGCACAGAGCGAATAAATAACTTGCCAAGATTACACAGTGTAAGTGGCAAAACTAGGGTTAAGTTACTTAGATAAGTTTTCCTCTAGGACTCATGATCTCATCCCCATGTTTCTAAGGCACAATTGGCTAAAGTAAGACCTATAAATATTGAAAAGAGAAGAAGATACTAATTTACTTGCAGATGGTAGGATCATCTACAAAGAAAAAGAACAGGAATCAATCAATAAACTTAAAATACGTAAGAAAAATCAGCAAGATAAATAATCACAAAAAAGACAGTAGCAACATGTAAAAAACCAATAGCAGCCATCAGTTTGAAAATTTTACTGAACTACTTTTATGTCATCCTTTTATGACACGGACTTTTGCCAAAATGTCAGGTGAAGATGGTATTGCAATATGGTTATGGTGAGTGTCTGCGAACTATTACTCATTTATATCCTTTGCCCATCCTTCTCTTTAAAAATTTAGGATCTCTAGTAAGCAGATATTTTACCCCAATTTGTTATTTGTCTTTTGACTTTGCCTATGGCATTATTTTCTATGCATAAAGGTTTTTGTCTGTTTTAAAAGCAGTCAAATGAATCAATCTTTTATGGTTTCTGGAGTTTTTGTTTTTTTACTAGTAACTTTATTATGGAATTACTCGTTTATTGAGCACCAGCTATGTACAAGACATTATTCTAGGCCCTGGGGACATAGTAATAAATAAAACATATTTTTTAAAAGTCTCATACTCATGAGATTTATATTCTTGGGGCACAGGCAATATGTAAATATACAGTCCTCAAGTAATGTCATTTCATTCAACGTTGTTTCATTCTAAGGTCCATGAGATGCTGTAGGAACCTAACTCCTGTGTATATCAGTTAGCCTATGGTAAAATTGATTACATTATATGCTTCACTGCAGTTCCAAGAGCCTATGGATGATATACCGTACTAGAGGCCCGGTGCACGGGAGGGGCGGCCCCTCAGTCCAGCCTGCACCCTCTCCAATCTGGGACCCCTCGGGATGTCTGACTGCTGGGTTAGGCCCGATCCCAGGGATTGGGCCTAAACCGGCAGTCGGACATCCCTCTCGCAATCCGGGACCGTTGGCACCTAACTGCTCACCTGCCTGCTGGTCTGATCCCCCTAACTGCTCTCCCCTGCCAGCATGATCGCCCTAACTGCTCTCTCCTGCCAGGCTGATCCCCCTAACTGCCCTTCCCTGCTGGCCTGATCGCTCCTAACCACCTCTACCTGGACTCCGCCACCATAGCTTTGTCCAGAAGGATGTCTGGAAGGTTGTCCAGAAGATGTCCAGTCTAATTAGCATATTACCCTTTTATTAGTATAGATAGATGGTATTGTAGGCGATGATAAATTACATAGAGAAAAATGAAAGAGGGTTAGTTGGATAAGAAGGAAGAATGTATGATGGAAAGGATGTAGATATTTTAAAGAAGGTGGTTAAGGGAAGCCTTATGTATTAACATTAATGAGTAATATTTGAGTAGGAACCTGAAGGAAGTGAGGGAGGTTGATATCTCACTGGAGAATGTTCCATATAAAGGTCCTGAAGTGCAGGAGCTTGGTGTGATTGGGTGGTGGGAACTAAGTGGCCAGAATGACAATTGGAGTGGAGTAAGAGTAGTCAGACTTGAGTGGTATTGGGTAGGATGGGGGAGGCAGATCATGCAGGGACTTGTAGGTGCCATAAGAAGGACTTCGGCTTCTACCCTAAATATGGTAAGAGGCCATTGGAGTGTTTTCAGCAGAGAGTGACGGTTTAGTAGGGTCATTCTGCTTGTGGAGAGAGTAGAATGTGGGGGACAAGAACTTGCATCATAGTATTAGTGGTAAGAAGTGGTCAAATACAGATAAAATGTTGAAGATAAACTGGATGTCTTCATGGTTTGGATGAGGGACATGGGAGGAGTCAAGGACAACATCAAGGTTTTTGGGAGGTATCATTAGAAGACTGGAGTTGCAGTTTAAGATAGCAGGAGTTCATTTTTGAATATATTACCGTAAGGGTATCTCTAGTAGACACCAGGTAGATATGGTGAATAGGGGGTTGGCTCTGCCTGCCAGTGTTCCAATCTCAGCTCCACCGTTTACTAGGTTTGTGACAAGTTGCGTAAGCTTTCTGTAATTCAGTTCTTTCATCTGTAAAATAGCTTTTTACGCAGTAGTATGTATGTTATAGGGTTGTTGCGATGATGTGTATGGGACAGTGTCCGGGCACAGAGTCATCATAATGCAAGTGTTTGCTGCTGCTGTAGTTACTATTGTCGTCATTATTCTGCCCAAGGATAG